GCTGTTTCGCACACCATTTGTATTGTTGAAGCTCCCGACTTTCTTCATACTAAGCCTGACAAGGCCGCGCCTATCAACGCGTCGTCAGACGCAATCTTCCTGCGCATGTGCAAGGTAAGGTCTTCACCCCCTTTGCGACATGTCCCGCCAAAGGCCGAGCCAGTTAGCGATGTAAAGCTAAAAAAAATAAAAGAGAAATATAACCAAAAATAAAATTTTCAAAAAGGAGGGGGGGTAGATCGAACCCCATGGCCTTGGCGCCTTCCGCCAACCTAACATTGTTGATGATTATCGGTTACTTCACAGTGCGATGCATTAATGCGTGCCCCACACACTCTCTAATTCGTTTGCATTTGGCTCGGACTCTCGCCAGGAGCGCGGTTGCCGAAGTGAGTGCCTTGACGGGATTTGCCCCATCGGCGCGTTACGTTGATTAAGGGCGCTCCCAATGCGACCTTTAAAAAAGGCGGCAAATACCCTTGTAAGGGTGTTTGCTACGACAACGCCATAGGACCTGTATTTTGTTTCTACCTGCTGCTTGAGGATACCCCATGCTTCCTGCACGTGCATTGGTTGTTTGTCTATCGTTTCCTGATTTTGTTTTCTCCATATGGACCATAGTGTTGACTTACGCAGGATTTGGAATAGGTTGATTTGCAAAAGGGGGCAGTCGTCGAGTGTTGTGAAGCCTAGCAAGACAACGGTAGCGTTTGTTGTGAAATTCGTGTTTGTTATTGAGAACCATATCTACTAAATCTTATTCCATATGGCTTTGATCTTGGGGCAATGGAGAAAGCAGTGGAACAGATTCTGTATCTGACCTTCTAAGCAGTTGGCACACAATTCATTTAAGGGGGGTCTATCTTCATTCCTTCTTCTAATGTTCAGCCATTGATGAAGTGGGATTGCTAGGTATAGGATTAACCATTGTAGGCTTCTGAACTTGGGGGGATGTAGTGTTGCTGTTTGGTTCCACAAAATTTGTTTTAAAATCTCGGGATATAGTTTGGGTATGGCGGATTGCTTGCCAACCCGTGACTACTCGTATCTTCTTTCCACAAAAAGAAGGACGAGCGAACCCCATCTCAACAAGGGTTTTGCTTTTTAAATTATTAGTCGGACGTTGGTCCTGAGCCTGGAATTCGAGGTCCTTGTCAAGGACATCCCAGACTGTGGTCCAGCACAAAAGGGTTTCCCCCTTGAGCCGGACCTACGCCCTTTGCTTATCGTCACCCACTGCCTAAAAGACAAGGGTGCCGCAAGGGCCGAACGACTTATCCTTCATCCGTGCAATATCGTGAAGGAGGAACCCTTCACGATATTTCGCTTTCGACACTTGAGTGTCGTACGCAACCCCGAAACCCATGAGAGGTTGCGCGGGTTTGGGTAACGCATGAAGCGTCGTCATGATAGCAGATCAAGTGAGAACACATGACTGAGCGTTATGGTTCCCTTAGCACCTGCATTCCTTTATGCAAATTTTTGCACGGGCCTGACTCAGACACCTTGGTTTTTCCGAGTTATGGGTCAGGACGTAGGAAAAAGGGACTAGGCTTATTTGTTTGTCTGAGTTAGTTCGTTTTGTTGTGTGTCACGTGGTGGAGTTAGGATGTACTAGTCGACCGACGCGGAATCGCCCGTGGGAGATCAGCGCCCCAGCGTGACGGTTCATGTACGGGTCCGAGCTAGGCATGGACCGTGCCTACCCCCTATGGTACAACATACGAGAAACGCCCTAGGCTGGGCCACCTCTGCAATTGCAAGTAAAAGCTTTCGTGTGTGGTTCAGTAGCTCAGTGGGGATACGCCCACCCAAGGGATGGTGACAGCTCCCGCGGGTGGAGGTGAGTTGTACCTCGCGAGACCCTGCCCTGTTGTAGGGACTCGATGGAGGTATAGTTGGCACACTCGGTCAGAGCGGCTCCGCCGCTTCCCTTCTTGTGAAGTGACTTGCGGATTCTGCCAATCCTGCGTGACGTGGCCGGGAAGGTTCCCCTAGCGGGGACCGTGCACTTGACAACACAAAGTCAAGAGGAAAATGAAAGTGAGCAAACCCAAAGTCAAAGAACTCCAAACCAAATTTGAGGATACTTGCCTTGGGTGAGGGAGCAATTGTCAAAGGTCAGGGCCTAATCTTCACAATATGTAACGACATAGCACATTCCACTAGTCCAGACTCGAGACCAATGGTTAGCACACCAGACTCATTGAGCATCCGGATCAATTCCTGCTAAACCTTCACAGGTAACCATACCAAAGACAGACAAGGAGCACAATTGAAATCCCCTCTCCCCCATCTAGACCAAACATCCCCCCGGCAACAACTCAGCCAACGACGTCAACTCAATACAGGCCTTTACTAACAGACTGCACGCCAAACAGCAAACCCCCACAGACCTCATCTCCAGCATGCGGAAACACATGGCCCTAATCCCCCCTCAAACCTCTCAGACCCTCCATTCCCCCCCCCCCACGCACCTAGCCCCATTACCTCCACACAAACCACCATGATCCCAACCCATACCCCCCCAGCCACGACACCACACACCCGAACACACCAGCCACCCAACCCCGCAACCTATACCTACAAGCACCGCACACATTCTCTTCTGAAGCCACCAAAAGCAATACCACTTCCACCCCACAAATAGTTCCCAAAACGGCACTACCATCCAGTTAAGACGAGAACAACCTAGGATATGGGATACGGACCATAAGAAGAGATTTCAAGTAAAGCTTTAGCAGGCCAGTCAAATTGGCTAGGGGTTAGGCTTTATCGCTAGGTAGATTTTGCAGATGAGGACAGATGCAAAAGGGAGGATAAATTTTAATCTCATCCATAGGCATCAGCAACAAAATCTGAGAGGGTTTAGGGTTTATCAAATCCTAATAAGGAGGATCAAGTCTACTGTTCTCGCATTTAATGAGAATCTGGCAGTCAAGGAACTGAGAGGAACAGGTTAGACGAGACCTCTCTTCAGCAAGACTACAGGGACCGCATTACCGAGTTCGTTTCCATGTCTTAGAGTCTAAATAAAAGAAATCAGGCTATCTTAGGCAGGGGTGAGGGGAGGTACATCCTTCCGGCGAGAAGTAATCAATGCCGTCCCTCGGGCTTTCCTACCGTAAAGGGGAAGAGCGTGTGTGAGTCCTATATGTACTTCCTTTTGACTTGCCGGCGGAATAGGAACCGGACTGATGCTCCCCAGAATGGAAAAGGTGCCAGAACCATAAGGTTCTGTTAAAACCAAAAAAAAGGACCGGAGTCACAGGACTGATGCTCCCCAGAATGGACATGGAGCCAGGACCGGAGTCACTGGACTGATGCTCCCCAGAATGGGCAAGGAATTCAAACAGATGCTGAACACAGAATATCAGGCCGACTGGCACAAACTGAAGCGAATCAGTCAAGAGTCTGAGAAGAGGCGGGACATCACAGACAAGTTTGTAAAGGACTCCCTAGAGAGCGGTAAACTGGGAGAGAGAGTAGGAAGCCAGCTCAGAGAGGCGGGGCACTCGGGACGCAGAAAGCACAAACACGTTGGTAGAAGCCCGCTCAGAGCTCACAGGGGCATCCAAGCCTTCAACCCCCCAGGGTATCCCGGGGGCCAGAGGTATATAGGTTTGTGAGCCGGCACCAGGGGGGTTGATCACTCTTGTGAGGAGGTTACTTGGATGAGGCTAGCTTAGGCAGGGGCGAGGTGTGGTATATCCTTTTGCTCGGATGAGGCTAGCTTAGGCAGGGGTGAGGGGTGGTATATCCTTCCCAAGGAAGGTGATCAATGTCGTCCACTCAGGCCTCCCAACGGTAATGGGGAGGAGCGTTGTGTGGGTAAATGCCGTACTTTCCTAGACTTGCTGCTGGAAAAGGAACCGGACTGATGCTCACCAGAATGGATATGGAGTATTATGGACTATTATGGAGCCAGAACTGATGGTTCTGTTTGTTTTAGAAAAAAAAAAGGTGAGTCCCCACAGTCTTAGCCACCTCTGATTTTTTTTTTTACTCCGAAAAGGAGGAGGATGTCAATAGGAGGTGCCCTAGCCCCCTCCAATCCACCTCTTGGTTGACCTACCACTGCAACCTTTGAATGCTGTCAAATCCCCCTTCTTCCTAAGCTTTCCATGCTTGATTAAGAGTGAATGGTGCCATCTTCTTGCCCGTCATGATAGCCATGGGTTTGCTCTTCGCAAAGTTCTGCTGAATGCTGTAATATACACATGGCAGCGGCGGACAAATAAACCGGACAAGTCCGGAAACCGGACACCGGATTTCCCGGTTCGATCCGAATGTCTGGTTTTCCGGGATTTTCCGGAGTTTCCGGACATGTCCGGATCCACATGTCTGGATCCTTGTCCGGATGAGCCTAGATTTATTATTTAAAAAAAAAAGAGTGCAGATATACAAAGTGCTGCACAAATAGATTGAAAACAACGAAAAGGGAAGAAGCGATAGCCAGCAGTGAACTAGGCGAGGGGCGCAGCGCTCTCAGCAGCGCTGCGCCCCGGGCATCACTCTTCCTGAATGCGGTCACGCCATAGCTGTGTGTTGCTCTCTTTGAATGCGGTCGCACCATCGCCGTTCACGTCAGTACACCGAGGCACGTTGCACTCGCGCCATTGCACGAATTAATGTCGCAAGCAGCTTTTTAGTGGAAACCGCGCGCGTCGCTCCTGCCCTGCTTCTTGGAGGACATTATGTGAGAGTATGCGACGACAAGGGTGGGGAAGTGGTAATTGCTATCTCCTAACTGAGTGGGGTCGCTGGACACAGCCATGACAGGCTCATGGTGGGGAAGGCGGGTGTGCTCATGAGTACACTTTGGAGGAAAGGGAGTGAAATGCTCCTTTCGTATCCATCTGGACCATTATTCGGCCGGGAGATCTGAAAGGAGGAAAAGTGTGAACGGGTAGATGAGAGTGTAAACTGCACAGCAGGTAGTGATCACGAACTACTATATATCCGATGAGGTTACTCTTCAATACGTATGGAGGAAGTATAATCGTCAGGTTGTCATCTCCATTATCTTCATCATCATCATCATTATCATCATCATCATCATCGTCATCATCATCATCATCATCAATATGGAGGCTGGCTTGCTTTATCGGTTCCAGCGCAGTGGGTACGGCAAACTTGTGTCATCATCATCACCATCATCATCAGCAACAGCAGCAGCGTTATTGGCATCTTCATTGGTGCGTCATCATCATCAACAGCAGCAGCGTTATTGATATCAGCAGCGTTATTGACAACAGCAGCAGCATTATTGACATCATCATCATCATCATCATCATCATCAGCAAAAGCATTACTGACACTATCATCATCATCATCATCATTGTGCATCATCTTTGGTGCGTCATCATCATCATCATCATCGTTATCATCATCATCATAGTTATCATCATCAGCATCAGCATCATCATCATCATCAGTATCATTTATCAACATCATCATCGTCATTGCCATCATCATAATCATTATCATTATCACCATTATGAGGATGTTTTTGCTTTTTAAGGCACTGTTTGCCTTTCGCTTCAGCAGGTGAGTGGGTCGTCACCATCAACCTCATAATCATTACTTTCAGGGGACTGTCCTTTGTCATCAACAAAATCCTACAAAATCTAAGTGAATGACATTTCAGTGAGGGGGAGGGGGAGAGCCCAGCTCTGCAGGGGTTTCATTAGGTGGGTGGTGAAACCCTGGAGGGGGATTGGGCAGATTGTGAGGATTACTCTTTTCTGGGGCTGGGCATCAAATCCCAGCGGGGGCAGATTAGGGTAAAGGGATAGATAAGGGAATGGAGACAATGGAGGAAGGAAGGGAGAGGGGAGATTTTTTCTGAATCATATCATCTTCAAAATCCACGTCATCATCATCATCATCTATGTTATTTCGTGCTTTCTGGTGTGCGGTAATTCTTGGCTGTATCTGGCCTCCTTCCTTAATCAGGACATAGGATTTCAGAGATGATCGAATCTGGACTGATATCTTCATAGTTGCTTTGTCGTTGCCCCTGGTTTGGCGATGCCAGAACGACGCTGGCCAGAGCTGGGGCGTTGCCCTGTAACCTGCAATTGGCAGGAGTGTGAGGCCTTGTAGAGAGATCTGGGGATTAGCCGAGGGAGGAAGGCAATCCATTGGCGAACCGGGGGAGCTGTCTTTGACTACCTACGGGGCCAAGGTTAGTCTAGGTGGCGAAAACAGGTCAGCTATGGTAGACATGGGCTAGGAGGGTATTGTCTCTGAGATGTAATGTCCTGGTGCAGGGAGGGCTGGGAGGGTCTAGGATTAGGAGGCCAGAAGTGCTGTTATAATATACTCTTCGATACACTTATTCATCATCATCATATTCATTTTTATCATCGTCATCTTCATCATCATTAGTATCATCATTTGATTATTGTTATATTAAGCTTTTTTGTGCTCTGAAATTTTGGCAGCTTCTAGCCTTCTTTTACATTCGGGATATAGAACTTCAGAGATGAATGAACCTGTACTGATATTTACTGAGTTGCTCTGTTCTGTGCCCTTGGTTTGCCAATGCCAGAACGACGCTGGCCGGAGCTGGGGCGTTGCCCTGTAACCTGTAATGGCAGGAGTGAGAGGCCTTGTAGAGAGATCTGGGGTTTGCTGAGGGTGGAAGGCATTCCAATGGTGAACCGGGGGGGGCTGCAAGGAGGCGAGAAGAGATCAGCTATGGTTGACATTGGATAGGTTGGTTTTGTCTCTGAGGTACGATGTCCTGGTTTAGGGATGGCTAGGAGTTGTTTTAGGATTAGGAGGCCAGAATAGCGGATATAGCATAATCTTCCATCTGCGGTGTTATTAGTATCATCATGGTCACCATCATAACCATTTGAGGGACGCTGAGCCCGGTTCTCAGCAGTTTCGGTTCGATCACTCCGGGCAGACTGTGAGGACCTCGGCCTCAATGTTATTATTGGTAATATCAGCCTTGGGCACAGGGCCCTTTTTATTAAAAAAAAAAAAAAAAAAAAAAAAAAAGAAAACAACGAAAAGGCACATTTCCATCTGTAGCTGCACTTGTTCGCAGCCCCACAGCTTCGAGCAGCAGTGCTGGTTAATGGCACCTGCAACTCTTTTAGGCGTCCTGCAGACAATCAAGACCACCCAACCAAACAACAAGGGCTACGAGATGTCAGATCCAACCACATCTGAGTCGATCTCTCTCTCTCTCCCTCTCTCTCTCTCTCTCACACACACACACACACACTCAATGAAGCTGAATCAATCAATCAATCAATCAATCAATCAAATATTTGACAGCATTTCCCCACCCGCATGGGGTCGAAATGAATCACTAGAGAACCGCTGAAACATCAGCCAAAATGCACAGCACGTCCATACAACCCATGGGGCTGAAACTAGACCCAAAAATTCCAAATGCAACGTGAAACAACTGTGGCTGCACTCAGCGAGTCAGCGGCACTTCCCCAACACTCATGGGGTCGGCACTTCGACAGGAACCATAAGCGAACTTCGAACCACAAGATCTAGACTAAAATGGGGAAAGGAGGATGGGCGAAAGAGAGTGCGCCATGTGGGGGAAGGGGTGGAAGGAGGAAGTTGATGAGGTAGGGGGCGAGTAAAATGAGGAGGCAGAGCAGGAGCAAGGCTATGAGGACGGCGGAGACCGTCAACAATATCTCAAGGCCATCAACGTTTCTTTGTGAAACAAGAATCGAAAAAAAAAGAGGAGGACGACGAAGACGCAGAGGATGACCGAGACAGTGATGATCATGAGGAGGAGGAGGAGGATAACGGCCCGACGAACGTGACGAGAAAGATCCGAAGAAAACGAGGAAGAAGGGAAATTATGGAAAAAGATTGCTACGTGGCACAGGTGGGGGAGGAGGGGAGAGGAGGACGAAGGAAGTCCATGACGAGGACCGAGACGAGGAGGAGGAGGAGAAAGTTCCGAGGAAAATGACGACAAAGATCCTAAAGAAGACGGGGGGTGGGGGGGGGAGGAATGGAAAAACGGCGTGATGAGGAGGAGGAGGATAAGGGGGCGATGAACAGAACAGGAAAGATATTAAGGAAAACGGGGAAAAAGAAAAAAGAATGGAAAAAGATTGCCACGTTGCACAGGTGGGGAAGGAGGAGGGGAGGAAGCGGGGAGGGGAGGACGAAGCAAGTCCATGACGATGACCAGGACAAGGAGGAGGAGAAAGTTCCAAGGAATAGACAAAGGTCCTACAGAAGGCGGGAAAAAAGAATGGAAAAACGGCGTCACGTGGCATTAACAGGGGGGAAGGGAGGTTATGGGAAGTCGATGATGACGACCAAGAGGAGGACGAGGAGGGGAGGGAGAAGGACGAAGACGTGGAGGAGGAGCACGAGGGGGAGGACGACGACGACATGAAAGTAGCCCGAAGGTGATAATGAAGAGGATGAGAAGGTAGAAGTTCGGGAAAGCATGTTGATGTTCCTCTGAAAGCAAGTCGATGGTGGGGGGGTGTGACGGAAAGCAAGTCGATGAGGAGGACAACGAACGGACGAGGAGGAGGGGGAGGAGGACAGCGACGTCGAGGAGGGGGAGGACGAAGACGTGGAAGGGGGGGGAGGCAGGGGATCACAACGATGTGGAGGAGGAGGAGGCATAGGACGTTGATGGCAAAGATCCGAAACGCCACGTGGCGTGGGCGGGCGGGGAGGGAGAGCAAGCCGCCGAGGAGGAGTAGGGAGGAGGATGACGAAGACCATGACGAGGAGGAGGAAGAAGAGTGGAGAGAGAGAGAGAGAGAGAGAGAGAGAGAGAGAGAGAGAGAGAGAGAGAGAGGTGCGAGAGGATCAACAGGGGAGCACGATGACGTGGAGGAGGCGGCATAGGACGTTGATGGCAAAGATCCGAAACACCACGTAGCGTGGGCGGGCGTGGAGGGAGAGCAAGCTGGCGAGGAGTAAGGAGGAGGAGGACGAAGACCATGACGAGGAGAAGGAAGAAGAGTTGAGAGAGAGAGAGAGAGAGAGAGAGAGAGAGAGAGAGAGAGAGAGAGAGAGAGGGGTGGGAGAGGATCAACAGGGGAGCACGACGATGCGGAGGACGAGGCATAGGACGTTGATGGCAAAGATCCGAAACGCCACGTAGCGTGGGCGGGCGGGGAGGGAGAGCAAGCCGATGAGGAGTAAGGAGGAGGATGAAGACGATGACAAGGAGGAGGAAGAAGAGTGGAGAGAGAGAGAGAGAGAGAGA